AAAGTCCCATAGGACGCATAGCTATAGAAAAATTATTAAAGTAAAATTGAGTTTTACGTGAAAATATCATACCAGCCAAAATCTCACTTGCTTAAAAAGCGGACCTTTATCTCGCGCTGCACCCCCCCTAGCTACGGGCCTGTAAATAATATATGAAAGTCTACTAAATACCCTTAATGATGCTACTGCTGCTGCCCAAGGATCTCTTGTATTTCTGATAATTTCCTCTGCATTGACCTGTTATTAACAAAGAAGATTTGAATTATGAAACTACTATTGCAATGCTCAAATAATTGAACAATCAATCAATAATTTGAACAATTAATTGTCGGTGGTGATATGCGATGATGGTGGTGATGATAATCCTGATGATGATTGATGATGATGATGGGGATGGTGATGATGGACGTTATGACGATCGTGACAATGATAGTAATGGTGATGATAATTGCGATGATGATTGGGGATAATGATAATGGTGATGGTTGTGGTTATGTAGATGGTGGCGATGATGATGGTGATGATAATTGTTGATGATGGTGATGATAATTGTTGTTGATGATGAAGATGGTGATGTTTGCGATAGTATTGGTGATTATAGTGATAGTGATGATGATGGTAATGGTGATGCTAAAGATGCTGATGATTGGTGACGATAGTGCTGTTGATGATATTGCTGAAGATGATGATGGTGATGATGGTGAAGATGATAACAACATAATCATCAACATAATTTCTTATTGTCAAGTAATTTAATATTTTTCCAATATAAAAGTAGATCAGCCCAGGGCTGTTAGAATTAACATATGCCATAAAATAAGGAACTTTGTACTTATAATTTTATAAATCTTTGGTAAAAATGGCACTAATTATTTAAAAAGTTCAAGTTCAAGAATGATTCATAATATTTACATATTTGCATGACTGTAATATTATGCCATGCAACTCCAATAGTATTCTCAGCGCGACATCTATACATCCCATAATCTTGTTTACGCGTGGTTGTCAGTACTAGCTCGCTTCCACCTGGATACGACGCTGTCCCAGTTGAAAATATTTTACCATCAGCTGTATACCACGTGATATTCGGCAGAGGGACACCTCTTGCAGCACAGCGTAAATGAGTTGTGTCACCCAAAATGGAAGATACGTTATTCCCAGATGACAAACGGTTATCAATTACTGGTTTATCTGCAATATTGAAAGAATGTTGTTAATGTCATGCTGGTCAAATTAAGATATACCAATAGACCTATCACGAATTCGCTTGACTGACCACGAAACAATGGTTTGAAGTGGAGATTGAACTTGATTCTTTTATTCATCAAGTTCAACCTCGACTTGAAACCAGTGTTTCGTGACCAGTCAAGCGAATTTGGGATAGTTTAGTTTAGTTTAGGGGAGATGACAAAAAATCGATAATGCGCGCGCATAAAAAGACAAAGACAAGACGCCATTTGGTATTTCCTTCATTTATTAGAGTGGTTAGCCTGTGGCTAAACTTAAAATTTCTTTATAAAATAATTGGAATATTACGCGCGCTATGATTGGTCAAAAACCATGTTTAATGAGAGTATGAAAACACGCTATCATCATTTTAGCGCGCGCGAGTATTGCAACTGTCAGATTATAATTTATCGCGCGCGCTCATTGATCAGTTTGAAAAAGACGGCACGCAGGGAGAATTTACTTAGGCTTTGGGTTTCTTCCATCTTTTCGCGCGTTTGTTATTTTATAAAACAAATCAACAAATGTTTTCCGTGTTTGATACGTCCTCTAGTAGTGGAAAATCCGGAATATCATGCTTATCAAATTTTCGCTAGTTCTAACGACCTTTTATGACCCTAAGACAAATCTTCGCTGTCGTTCGCAGAAAATATAGAAAATAATGAGTTCTTCAAGTCAGCTCTTTAAATTTTGACACACTATAAATTAACCTCAATCGATTTAAATATAGATTATATACAGCTTAATTTATTGTTCACTTTACTAACCTTATCTCTGATTACCTAAGAACACTCATCTAACCAAAATTCGATAGTTTGGATAAATGATTTATCTATTGCTTTTTAATAATAATAATAATAATCAATCTTTATTCAGGAAGCCTACTTCACATAATGTGTTTTACAATAGGGTCCTGCAGAATAAATAAAACTAATTTAATAATAAATAAAAAGATATAACTAGCTAAAAACTAGTGTGAGCTGCGTCGGTGTTTCTAATGAAACAGTAATGATGAAAAGGTAAATTATACACCGTGAAAAGATGAAAAAAATAGATGAAAAAACTTACTTTTTTCGTCTTTTCACGGTGTATAATTTACCTTTTCATCATTACTGTAAAAATAAATAAATCTAAAGGACTAAGAAAATCTAGATATAAATATAAAAATTTATAAAAATACCCTCCCTCAAATCAACCATGCTAGCAGCAGGAAAACACTCTTAAAGGTCAAAATGATGAAAAAACTCTTAATATGAAAACTATCTTACAATAATCAAATCCCCTCACCCTTTATAAACTTCATAAAAGTAGTAATATCCCTAGCTTTCCGTGCTTCAGATCATTCCAGTCATTACTAGCGAAATTAATTGATGTCCAGTGTCCCCATTTATGCTTAGCTGCTGTCTTACGAATATTAGACTTAAATCTGGTATTATACCTATGAATATCTTGCTGATACCTTAGATCAAACCTAGGTGAAAAGAGGTTGTTCCTACATTTATAAATGAAAATTAGACGATGCATCTTTCTTCTAATCTTAAGATTAACCCAGGAAAGACTCTGTAAGGCAGCACTTGCAGAAGACCTATAAGAAAGGTCCAGGATAATACGCGCAGCTTTGTTCTGTAAAACTTGTAAATCTGACATTAAGGACTCATTACCCCGATCCCCCCAGACTATATCAGCTTAGTCAAACAATGGCAAAATACTAAGAATTATAAAATAATAGCCTACTGTGGATTGGAAAATAATTCTTAATGCGCTTAAGCAACCCTAGCTTTTTGTTTATCTTAGATTTGACATAGTCAATGTGTTTATGCCATGATAAATTCTTATTGATGACTACACCAATATACTTGTAGCTCTGCACTTTTTCCAAGGGAACATCCTCGATGGAGAACACAGATTCTGCAGATGATTCATTTATCATAGGAATTATTGAGCCGCATGTTATAAGTCATAACCGCCATGTTGGTTGACGCAGAATACAAAGCATTCATCATCTTCTCTTGTTCGAACTACCAACATTGCGGCTGTTTCGTCGTTATTTATATCTCTATGAGTCATGTGGTTGTAACCCAAGAATAGACTTTTGAATACAGTCTGGTTTTATCTCAAATAATATGAAAGTAAATTATCCATCAAATAATGAGACATATAATAATAATTATTAGATCATGGGTTCACCTGATTGTAGCATCAATTATTAAGACGAAGCGGTTTTATCTCTTCCAGTCAAAAGCATTCGGCACATGACACAGCCTCGATCGTGATAGTTCACGTGACGTTTTATTTTTAATAATTTTCTTTGTAAAATTATAGTCAACAAAATTACTCGACTCTGATTGGTCGAGAGGAGTACAATTATAGCGTTAATTGTACTCCGTAGGAGTACCGAATTAAGTCGCTATGGCAACACGGCCAAAACAATTATTTTCTATCATTTTGTACTTAAAAAGCATAAATAAAATTTTAAAGCCGTAAGAACTAATCTTTTTTATGCATTTCAGTTGCACGATGGACTAGAAATTGGCCGCCAAATAGACAAAGATGAACGGCGTCGCTTCGCATTTTTTACTGAAATTTTGTTGAGTGAACTATAAACAGAAAGTCGCACGATCTTCTCGTACAATTTGGAATTAATAGACACTCGTAATGTTTTGAAAGTTCTTTAATATCACTCGCCTAAAGGCTCGTGCAATTACAAGAACTTTCAAAACACTACTCGTGTCTATTAATTTCCTATACTAATTGCTTATTATATTTCCAAAATACTCACATATTTTTGGAAAAGGAAAAAAAATATTTAGATCTGTGTGTAAAATATTCAAAAAATAATAAATTAGCAATTTTGAAATATAAAATAACGAAAAAATTGACGCAGGGAATTCGGCCTCTTCCAATTTTGTCAGTCCTCGGAATTTTTTTCACTCAATTATTTCCAAATTGGACAGCATATAGTCTTATTACCTATACTAATAACTATAATTTATCGTGCCTGCTATACGATTGGCACTTAATTAAAAAGAGTTAAATCACGCCTCTTACCAATTATTATTGTGATAAGCATTTGATATCCTACTATGAAAGCCACATACCTGTCATTTCAAAGGACGTGCAATTTGTATCATTCCCAAAACCGTTTGACAAGTGACAGCAATACTTTCCTCCTGATGCTTTACCAGTGATGTTGAATGACGTCACACTGGAATTAGCAATTGTTCTGTTGGTGTCCTTGTGTATCCATGTAACACGAGGTGCTGGATGTCCAGAGGCATTACATCTTAATGTTATTGAATCTCCTTGTTTGCCATAAAGGTTTGGGGTAAGATACTTGATACGAGGTAAAGCTACAGACAAAAATAGAGAGAGGAAGAGGTTAAACGATTAGTTACGTTCTTGATCATCTACTGACCAAATAGCCTTTAGCTTTATATATCTATAACTTCTATTTATTCAAAGGTTTAATGGTTTATATTTTCACACTTGTCTCATTACATACTTCGAGGTATTTATAGTGGTAAAGTGCAAGGCTACGACTCAAATGGGTTAATGAAGAAGTGTCGTTTACCCTAGCAGTACTCAGATGAAATACAGTTGAAAAAACGGACGGTTTTATACTGGAATTTATGTGCATAGTTTCTATAATTGGAATTTACCAAGGTAGAGCGGATAGCCTCACTTCGATGCACGCTCATTTAGAATATCGCTAAGACGCGGACGTCATTGCAATAAGAGCTAATGATTTCTAAGTCTGCTGTTATTCTTGCATAAAAATGATTTTTAACCTGATTTGAATGTATCGCGTATTTATCGCGTGATATGTTTATTGGTCTATTAATTGTATCCATGTTGGAAATTACTGGTGATTCCTGCAATCTGATTGGCCCGATCTTAGCAGTGCGATTTAATCATGATTCCTGCCAGTTTGAGCATGAAATGGCACTGTTTTGAAGAGCCAATACAATTGCATAAATCAAAACATGTTTTATCGCAGAAAAAAGAAGCCAAGAAAAAGCATCAGAAAAAAAAAATTAAAAGATGTAAAAAAATCAGGGAATTTTTCAAATAAGATACAATTATTTTTGACTAAATGTTGCATTCCAATTTAATTATATATAAATTTAGTATTATTACAAGAGATTTCAAATTGGATATGACGGCAATTGAACTTCATATTGCGAAATTTCGATTTGAAATCAAGCTTGTGCCTATTAACACTGAAATTGCACTTACGCTACGCCGGTCTTGCAATTTTGTAATCACTCTTTGCATTTCAGACAAAAGTGCACTCCACTCCGTCCATTACCATTATTTATTGCCTGGCTGCCTTTTTCTTTTTTTCTTTTTCTTTTTCTTTCTTTCTTTCTTTTTCTTTTTTCTTTTTTTTTTTTTTTCCAT